GGTTCTGGAGGTCCTGAGTTCAATTCCCAGCAACCACATGGTGGCTCACAACCATCTGTAATGAGATCTGGTGTCCCCTTCTGGCCTGCAGGCATAACACAGTATATATAATAAATAAATATTAAAATATTAAAAAAATAAAAACTCATTTGTTTTTATTATTTTTAAGTGTGTGTGTGAGTGCACGTGTATATGCGTGTGTGCGCATGCATGTGTGTGTGTGTGTGTGTGCATGTAGATATGTGCAAACCTACCTCAGGTCCCAGTAGAGGTCAGAGGAGTTGAAAGTTAAATCCCTCCCCTGTAGCTAGAGTTACAGACAGTTGTGAGCCACCTGGCATCCATATTAGGAATTGAATCTGGAAGAGCAGTGTGGGTGTACACTTCACCACCCTCCCCACCCTTTTCTTTTTGAGAGGGTCTCACTCTGCAGCCCTGGTTGGGACTCACTTTAAAAACAAACCAGGCAGGCTTCCACTCATGGTGTTGTGCCTCCTGAGCGTGAAGATTAAAGGGCCGACCACCCTGCCCTGGCACAGTATTGTGTTTCAGTAGAGCAGGAACCTTGACCCATCAACATCTCTTCAGTGGCGCCTGGTGGCTTGTTCTTTACTTTGGGGCATAATAAACACAAGTCAGCACAAATGAGCTAACGGATGTCACATTTCTTTGTTTTTGTTCCTGGAGGACTAAGTGTGGCTGGCACCACTGGAGACTTCCCTAGGCATCCGGAATCAGCTATTACCACCAACGTAACCACTTCAGCGGTCCAGGAAATGCTTGATACAAGGTGCTGACTCTGAAGGGAACGGCAGTTACTGCCGGTTTCTCAGCAGCAGCGCTCTTCTGCCTAGTGACCTTGGCGTGAGCGACCTTAGACCTTAGAGTAGGGACCAACAGCAGGGACTTAGCTTTCAACTGAACATTTCAGCCACTGCTTTGGTGTTTAAAGACATCCACGGCCTAACTGTCGCCCAGAAAAATAAGGAATTAATTACCCCTCCCACTGAAGCTGGTGGGCACCCAAAGTAGTCATTTCCTGATAGAAACCATGACCACAAAACAAAGTCAATTGATTCCTGCCCACTCCTCCTGGTTCACTGCTAATCTTAAAGAACAAAACCAGTCCAGCTGGTTACACCAAAGATCCCTGCAGGAGGGCTCCAATTTGTCCACTTCCGGGAGTTGGAGGGTGCTCAGGGTACCAGTGCAACCTCGAGTTCCCCTCTCTGGGCTGTCACCCTTTAGGAAGATGTCCGTTCCACCAGTCCCTCGACGTTCCAACCCTTCTGAGCGTTTATGCAGTGGTCACATCGATGCTAAACTATTAGTAAGCCTCAGACAGGGAACCATCCCAGCGCTTTGCTAATGTCTGCGGGGAACCCAGAATGTAACATCCAGTCAATCAGTGAACTGCCAGCAGGAGATACAGGAAGATTTTCCAAGATTTGGAGCACAGGGGAGGTTACTCTTCCCTTCTTTCCTAGAGCCACGTGCTTCTTCCCTTAGAAGATCTTCAAGGCAAGGTCAGAAATCGCACAACCAATACCGGAAGGTTGGCAGTAGATCTAACAAGAGGTTAGACTGTGCTTTAAAAAAAATTATTTTTGATTGATTCTTTGGGAATTCCATATCATGCACCCCAATCACACTCATCTCTCAGTTCCCCCACATCCACCCCTCACACTTGTCGTGTCCCCCGCAAAGGAAAAAACTAACAAGGAAATAATAAAAACAAGATAAAAACAAACAAGAAGGAAATAATAAAAAATATAAATAAGAATATCAACTTCAATTAAAAACAAACACACAAAACAAAGGAGAAGAAAAACAACAACGAAAGAACAAACACTTTGCTCCGCAGTCTTTGCTTCTCGGTCCCCTTCATTCCTCTTAGCTGCACTGGGAGCAGCTGTGCCCCATACAGTAGACCCTGTTGTCCTCACAGTTGCCTTGCAAGTGTGCATTGTACAAGGTGCTGTTGGTCAGGTTCATGGCCTTTGGCCTCCTGCACACCACAGATTACACTTTCATATGGATAGAAACCCCCACTGACTGTAACTTCCACAAAAAAAGAAATATACACACAGTAACCAGTTGCTATCTAAAAACTGAAATTATGGCAGACAGTTAAGTGACAGATAAAGGCATATAGTTTGCGTTATGCCCAGATCTGAGAAGTCCCCCCAAAACCAACAAGGAGACTAAGTCCCGTATGTAAAAACAAAGAGCCTTTATTCTATACAAGTTTGCAGACTTGGACTCTCCATATATCCAGCATGTTGGAGTGATCAGAGAGCTCCGAGCTCAGTTAGAGTTGGGTTTTTTTATAGTAGTAAAGATGGGAGTGAGGGATTTCTAAGGTTCAGGACTCCTGATTGGCTGACATTTGTCTAGGGGTGTCCTGGTGAGTATGTGCTGGCAGGTGATCCTATCTCTACAATGGCTGGAACATTAGGATTTTCCTTTGGATGATCTGTTCTTGGGTGATACCTGGGTAATCTCAGTTAGTGGTTCTTCCTGCAACCAGGTATTGCCTCAGGGCAAACTACTGAGACTCAGGCCTCTATTAAGCTTATCATGGCTGGGTCTTACACTGGCAGGTGATAATGGCTGGAAACATTAAGAGCTTCCTTTGGATGGTCTGTTTCTATTAAGCTTATTATGGCTGGGTCCTACAGATTGCACCCACTTGAAAAACATTACAAAGCCAACAGATCTGTAATCGCAATCTTCTGGAGGTTGAAGCAGGAGACTATTGTAAATCTGAGGTCAGCCAGAACTAGCATAGCAAGACTGTTTCTCAAAATAATAACAACAAAGAAACAAATAAATATCAGCTAATATACAATTAAATCCACGACCTAATAAACAACGTAATAATCATGGCCTCTGAGACACAGGATTTTCCTTGCAGTTGGGTTTGACAAGGATTATTGATGGCTTCTTCACCACCTCTGCAATAAATCCAATTGAGCCAAATTGAAGGGTAAAAGGCAGGTTTATTCAAGGGATTAGTTGCGAGTCCAAGGCCCCTATCTAGTAGGAGGTTCCTGAAGGTGTGAGGCTGGACGTGCTTAGGGCTTTTGGTTGGAGTTTGGTGAGGTATTGGAATGTTGGCTGGGGTTGGGGGTCTGGTAGGTGTCTGCTGACTCCAGTAGTCACTCTGGAATCCAGAAATGAGTGTCTTTATCCAGAGTTTTGTGTGGACATTTTGTAAATGCGAGTTTCAGGCAGGAATCCTTTTGTCTTTTTGTGGGTTTAAGCAGGCACTGGCTTCTGGCTGGAAGTGGGGTAGGGACCTTTTTGTCCTGAAACCTCCATCCTAACAATTATGACTCTCAAGGATGCTACAATTTGGATCTTGACCATTCCCCAAAAGTCCATATATTGAAGTCTTAGTCTCTAGGATGGTGAGCCTCTGTCAAGAAGTAGAGGTCCAGTGGGAGGGGCTACGCCACCTGTACCCTGCCAAAGACATGCCCAAGAGACTGATTTCCTTCATTCAGGCCCACCTCCCACATATCCATCACCTTTCAATGGTCTAGGCACAGTTTGGATAAACCACTGAATTAAACCATCCATTAGGTCAGAACCATTAGCATCTGCTTGTCTCTGGACACACCTGTGCAGACACACTTGGAATTATAACTTACAAGTCTCCTAGGTACTTCTTAGTCCAGTCATGTGGACCCTGAGAATTCAGCATCACAGCCCACAAAGTCTTGTCTATTCAAATCTCCCCAGACCTCTGCACTAGCCTTCATTCCTTGGGGTAGAAGGCAGAAGAACATCTGTCATCTTAGAGTATTTTGGGCACAAGAAAGCCACAGTGGCATTTCTCATTCTTTGTGGCTTGCTTCTGCAAGAAGGAATTCTAAGCCCTGACCTACCCGAGAAAGAGGAAATGTGATTTTTGTGACTCCCTTTGAAGGCGAAAAGGTGGAAAGTGAAAGCTGTTGGGAGGTCCCCTCCCCCATCCTCGTATCTAAGATCAATCTAACAGGAGAAACACACACACACACACGTGAGAAGGGGGGGGAGAAGATAAGGGGGGAGAGGATTCAGATTGATTTCAGTTTTGTATGGTGTGATGGCTTGAATGAGAAATGTCCCCATAGGCTCAGGTGTCTGGGCACTTGGTCCCCAGTTGGTGGCGCTGTTTGGGGGATGGTTGAGCAATGTAGCCATTTCTATTATTTTATATTTTACCACGAGGCTTGTGGCCTACCCGTAAGGTTCCAGCTGGTGGCTTGTGTCTTTCTCCTCTCGTGGCTCATGGCTTCTCTCTGTCTCTGCCTTTTTTCTCCCAGCATTCAGTTTAGTTTTCCCGCCTAGTTCTATTTCTGTTAAGCCACTGGCCAAAACAGATTTATTTATTAACCAATAAAAGCAACACATAGACAGAAGGACTTTCCACACCAAGCCTGGAAGACAGTAAGAAATGCTGAGAGCAAAGCCCGCCGTAGAGGCCCCAACTCAAGAGGTTTTAGTAAGAAGCAAGGATTTTTACAGCAACTGGGCTAGAGGCCATTCCTGTGATATTTTGGCAAATAACCAGGCTGACTTCTGCCCTTATTCTAAAAACCTGCCTAAGGCCAAATTGAAAAGCGATGGATTGGCTGAATGACACAGTCTTTAAAGCCAGCACTCTAGAGGCAGAGGCAGGCAGATCTCTGTGAGTTAGAGACCAGCATAGTCTCCTTAGGGTTATATAGCGAGATGCTTCTCAAAACAAAATAAAACAACAACAACAAAATAGTAATGGGCCAATTTCTTTGGTGGAGGAAATTTCAAGACAGCATTATACTGGACCTGTGATTACTGATAATGTTTATATAGTTCTCCAATGAGAAAGACCAAGTAGAACAGAAGGAAACTAAACATACCACTGGGAGAACAAAGAGCACTAGAAGGCTTAGTGCTGCAGCCAAGGCTTGTACTGAGAGAGGCTGCCGGTTGGGAAGAGAATAACTATAACTCCTGAGAGGCCCCCTGCTCTGCACTAGAATAAAGAGAAGGGCACCTCAGGGTCACACCGCACCCAGCTAAGCTTCCAACTTGTGAAAGAGCCTGAGATGTTTTTTGTTCCTAGGAAGCAAGGAAATAAAATATGTGCTGCGAGTGTGTTTCAAGGAGACTGGGGTGCATTCCAAGCTAACACTCAGAGTTGGCAGTGTGGTCCATTCAATGCTGGCTTTAGAGGCATGAAGAACATAAGAGCGAGGTGGGCAGCAGCTGCGGATTCTCTTTCTGTGGTTTCGGAGAGTCACTGAGGGTCACCAGGCAATGTGTGGCGGACGAGACCCTGCTAAAAGAGTCGGAGGCCCTGAGTGGCTATGAAAGTGAAGCCTGGAGTGTAGTGGTGATTTCAGGGTGCTGGGGTGCTGGAGCCATCTGCCAAGGAGAGCTGAATACGGGATTAGAACCAGCCTGAGAGAGAGATGTATGTATCAGGCAGCAAAGCTGGAAAGGTGGAGCCATTGACAATAAGCCTTTGACACCGAGGTGGACCTAGAGGACTTGGTATTTGCCCTGCTGGGCTTTGGTCCGGTATTTTCTCACTCTGCCCCTTCCATCCAGTTAGAATGGTAATGCATATTTTGTGCCATTGGATGCTGGAGGTGTGTCATTTTTTAAAAAAAATATTTTATTTATTTTTCTTTTTTTAAATTTTTTAAAAAATTCTATGTGCATTGATATTTTGGCTACATGTATGTCTGTGTGAGAGTGTCAACTCTTGGAGTCACAGACAGGTGTGTGCCATGTAGGTGCTGGGAATTGAACACTGGTCCTCTGGAAGAACAGTCAGTGCTCTCAACCACTAAGCCATCTCTCCGCTCCCATAATTTTTTTTTTTAAACAAGAGGTTACAATTAAAAAAATTGGTTTGAGTCTCGGAAAAGATTTTTGAACTTAAGAATAGTTTTGTTTTATGTGTATTGAGTGTTTTGATTGCAGGTGTTTGTGTACCAATGTGTGTGGTACCTGTGGAGATCAAAAGATGGTATTGGGTTTCTAGAATTGGAGCACGATGCCATACAGATGCTAGGAATTGAACCCAGGTCCCCTGGAAGAGAAGCCAGTGCATTTAACTATTGAGCTTTGGATTTTCAAACAGTGTTGAGACTGTAGGAGACTTTTGAATTTGGATTAAACGCATATTGTGTTATGATGTGGCCACAAGCCTTTGGCGGCCAGGGAGTGGAAAATGGCTTGAATAAAATGTCCCCCATATGCTCACATGTTTGGACACTTGCTCGCAGCTGGTGGCACTGCTTGGGGAGGCTTAGGTGGTGCAGCCTTGCTGGGTAAAATAGGGCACTGGAGGTGGGCTTCGAGAGTTTAAGGCCTTGGGCCTCTTACAGTTCACTTTCTCCGCTTCACACTGTGCTTGAGAAGGACAGCTCACAGCTCCAGCTGCCGTGCCTGCAGCTTGCTGCCATGTCTCTTCTTCTGGGGTGGACTTTCAGCCCTCTTGAACCTAAACAAAAATAAACTTCTTCCAAAAGTGGCTTTGGCCATGGTGTTTTTCAGTTGCATCAATAGAGAAGAAACGAAGACACATGGCACAGGAGTCCTCATAGAAGAACAAGGTCCCAGTAAGCAGTTAAAACAGGAAGTTACACTGAATTGAACAAAGAACAGTCAGTTGTGTAGAAGCCACTAGGCGTGGGGAGGGCTGAAAGAGCAGCTGTTTTCTTATCAAGGACCTTGCACAGCTCTCTGGGTCTCAATAGCTCATCCAAGGAGATGAAAGTTTCTTCTCTTTCTAGAAAAGGGCGAGTGTCTTTCCCACGGGGCTTCATCTGTTGTTAAAAAAAAAAAAAAGAAAGAAGGAAAGAAGCAACAAAGTTCAGGATGATCTTGCATCTACTGGGTTTCTGATGCATTTGAAGCCTTAAGTTGTTGACACACCAGAACAGCACATTTTCATCTCCAGTGTGAGGCCCTCCCAACCACTACAGTCCAAAGTGCTCAGCCTGCCGGAGTGCCACACCTTGAGGGTTCAGATTCTGAGCCCAATACTACTATTGCTTCTTTTCTTCTTCTTCCTCTTCCGCTTCCTCCTCCTCTTCCTCCTCTCCTTCTCCTCTTCTTCCTCCTCTTCTTCCTCTTCTCCTTTTTCTCCTCCTTCTAGATTTATTTATTTTAATTTTATGTGTATGAGTGTTTTCTTGCATGTTTGTGTATATGCCATGTGCATGCCCAGCGCCTGTGGGTAGGAGGAGAGGGTACCAGGCTCCTAGAACCAGGGAGTACATACTGTTATGAGCTGTCATGTGGGTTCTGGGGACTAGACCAGGGTCCTCACAAGAGTAAACACAGCTCTTAACCACTGAGCCATCTCTCCAGCCATACCACTTAAATGTAGTGATGGCCACTTTAAAAGCTTGTATTATTTTTATAAAAACTAAAAAATATAAGCTTTAGCTGGTATGGTGGCACATGCCTTTACTCCCAAGCTCTCAGAAGATAGGTAGCTTTTCTGTGGGCTTGAGGCCAGCCTGGTCTACATAGCAAGTTCCAGGCCAACCAGGGCTACACAATGAGACCCTCTCTCAAAAATAAATAAGTAAGCAAAAATAATAACAAAAAAGAAAAACCAGAAAAATCTATGCTTTAAGAAATTTGCTTGTTTGTTTTGATTCTTTGAGACAGGGTTTCCTCTGTAACCCTGACTGTCCTGCAACTCTATAGATCAGCCTGGCCTCAGAGATCCACCTGCCTCTGCCTAAAAAAAAAATCATTTTTTATATGTTGATCTGTTTGATATGTTCATCACTTGGGGGCAGAGAAAAGAAATATCAAAGATGAAAACCAAAGGTTGAAATGTTTTAGGGACTCTTTTGAAGAATTTTTGAAAGTATATAAAAAAATATTGAGAAGCTCAATTTATTTTCTAGTAATCGACAAATCTAAAAAACAATTAGAAGACAGAATAAGATCTGGAGGACAATGACGACATCATAGAGGACGAAAGGGAGCCAGTGTGCCCCTGACTGGGACTTTTGGGGTCTTGAGTGGCAGCGAGCAGCGTAAGAGTCACAAAGTTAGCTTAGTGGTCTTGAGAGGTTTCAAAGAGTCACAGGAGGCTGAAAATCAGAACGGCCATGCGCAGACAGCTGGAAATTTGTTTCGGGCATGGAGGAGGCGCACTGAGCTACCGTACAACCAATCAACAGACTTCAAACTTGGAGTTGAGGTCAGAAGTGTGTCATTGCCCTGACAGGAACTGAGATCTTACTGAGGGAGGCTCCAGAGAACAGAACAAAGAACAAGCACAAAGAGAAGGAACCACACTCAGATGTGATGACCATTCCTTTGAAGGGGGATAAGAAGAAATCCTTACATCTAATCAGAACTTTATGCTCTGATGCCAAATTGGCATGGCTAGGCTGATGGAGGTGGTTTGACCCGTGGCGTGTTCAATACACTATGAATACTTCAGAACCTCCATGTGTCCCCCTCCCAAGGAACTGCTCTCCTGCCAGGGCCTTCCCACGTCTTCCCACTCTAGGTCGGTTGGAATGTTTTGCTTGGGCTCCATAGGGAGCCCATATGCCTTGCGACCTTGACTGAAAATGACCTTAGGTTTAAAAGTGTTGATGGGTCATTCCCCTTGGGTCAGTGATTCTAGGTAATCCAGCTGAGATAAAATTAAATCATGGGGGGGCAAGCTATAGGGTTATGGGGGGCAGACTATAGGGCTATGGAGGGGGAAGACAGCTAGTGGTTTGAAATAAAAAACCCAATGTTTTGCCGGGCGGTGGTGGCCCACGCCTTTAATCCCAGCACTCGGGAGGGAGGCAGAGGCAGG